AGGACCAACCACAGAAAAGACAGACAACACATGCCTCTGTGACGTTGAACAAGTTCTTTTGTCGTAGCACAGTGCGACTCGGGAAATTAATGAGGGTCACTCGCGCTGGTTGATTGGCAACTTCGGGCGTCCAGTAAGCAAGCATGTTTTCTCTTTTCTTGGCACCCTTCTCGGCTTTCACGGGCTTATCTGCGTCTTCCTTGTCCTTCTCTCCGTGGGGACACCATTCAAAGTCCACAACCCCCTCGATTTTCAAACTCTTTTTGTCATGAAGACCCATGGTTGGTAACTCATAGACACTGATATGCTGTCCTGGCGTTACACGAGCAACGAACTTATCATCGGAACTCCACTTTAAGGCGGGCCACTGCATTTGTTTTTTCATCGCAGGATCCTCATTCTCGTAAGCCGTGGTGGGGAACGTGCGAAGAAGGTGACCGGACTTGATCTCCCAAACGGCAATATTATTGCCCTCGTCCTCCGGAGAAAAGAATTCGGGACCTTGAGGAAGATTAGCGGGGACTGAGATAGGATCATGTGACCAGGTGACGATGTAATTTTCGCATGGAGAAAAGTCGATCAATTTGACGAGAGGATGTGCAAATCGATGTTGGGGTTCCCATGATGGTCCACCCCACAGGCGCACACCCTGACGAAAAAGCGTAGCGAAGTATGTACCAAGCGGTGACCATGAGGCGTAGAGTTCTGTCCAATTCTTTCAAAAAATTAAGCAGAAGCAATGATGACTAGGACGGCCACATACCTTTTTTGCATAGGCAATTTCACACTGCGAGGGCTTCCCATGCCAATGGATTTCCACGTCATCGCCTCGGTAAGTCACATATTGATCACGTCCTTGAGAATCAGCGAGCCATGCTCGGAGATGTTCCTTTGGAAAGTGAGTCTAACATCTTGATCGCGATAGGGAAGTCAAACCTTTGGACGGTATTCCTCTACTGCGGGTTCAACGTATGTTTCGTCAATGTTTGCATAGCGTTCGACGTCGGTGAATCGATTGATACGGAAAGTATGCTTCGCATCAAAAGGGTGTCCGTTCATTGCACCGGCCGCAAATGCAGCCGCATCTGGATTTCCAAGGTCAACAAAGATAAAGCTACCATACTTTAGTTCTCAAACAGTGTAGCAATAGAGCTAGAAGGAGCGTACCCTTTGGATTTTCCTACATTGTCGTCCCATGGTACGAAAATGTCATCTTGTTTGATCACAGCCCCTTTTCTGGAGAACTCCTTGGAGATTTTTGCGAGTAACTTGTCGAGCTTAGACCTGTCGATGACAGGTACGCCGTCAACCACGATTATACTGTCGAAACCGTCGTCGAAGTCCACGCGATATCTAAGGAGAAGAAAATGAGCAGAAGTTAAATTGAAAGCGCAAGACGCCCGCACTTGGCTTCGATGTCTGAAAAATCAAGCTCATCGTCGATAGAGTTGTGTGAAGTGCCGTTAAGACTGGCCATTTTATCTTGCTCACTGCTCTCGTCGGCAGTAAAGTCTGCCTTCACAAAAATAAAGTTCAAGCGGAGTATCCTTTTGGGTGAATTACATAATTTCGATAAGAGGTTATCCCTTTTCTCACTATCCTTTCGTAGTAATGAACATTAATGATGCCTCCGAGCCTCAGTGACATTGGTTTCGGTTGGTGGCTGCCTGCACTGAGAAAGGCAGCGCAGTCGTTTTGACAGCACCTTGGGGCACAATCGTGCTCTGGATGAATGCTCATCTATGTGTGGGACATCCGAGACACGTTCTACCTGTTCTCATCAATGATGATTAGATGTTTGAACGTTTAGGCCTCAGGCCTCTGAGCATACTGTATTAGGATGTAGGTGGTCCACGCTGAACACTTGCAGCACTAAATATGTAACATACAGTAATCCTCCACCTTCACTATTGTACCACGTGTATCCACTCATAAAATGATGGATCTATGAAGTGAGCCGTGAGCCCTTCATTCTCTCTTCAACCAGCTCGATTTCTTCTAGGCGCTTACAGTATGTCTGTCGAGAAAGATATCAATTCCATTGATGCGAAGACCGGTGACCTTCGTAAGGTCACTGCAAAGGCCCACGAAGCGGAAATAAAGGTTGCAGCACATGACCTCAACAGAAGAGAGTCGCTCAGTGCATATTTTACCATCCTTGCTGCTGGGTTTGGTTTGATCAGTGACGGCTGTAGGTTTTGGCTTTAAACTGCCGATAAGTAACAGTTGGTCACCTTATCTATCACAGACCAAAATAATCTGATGACGATGAGCAACGTTCGTCACCATCAGGCACTGGTAATGGGAAAGTTTCTGATTTGATTTACTAGGTTATCTTCAAGGAATTATACCCAAATGACTACACATCGACTGTGTCCACTCGTGTCTCAAATTCCTTGTTAGTTGGTGAGTGGTGGTACTAGTAGGAATGCGACGCCTGCACGTATCTTATTTCGACATTATAAAGGTGCTGTACTTGGCCAGATATTTGTGGGTTTGATCTGTGACAGGGTGGGACGCAAAGTCGCCCTTGTCTCGACAACCCTGCTCATTGTCATTGGTGCTATCCTTGGTACTGCGGCCCACGGTGCGCACGGAAGCGCCCAGGGATTGTTTTGGTTCTTAACTATCGCTCGAGGCATCACGGGTGTCGTATGCAAATTTTTCATGATGCATTCTCCATGATCAATTTTGTTAGGGCGTTGGAGGTGAATATCCTGCTTCTTCCACGAGTGCCAGCGAAGCTGCGAATGAGACGGCACAGACAAATCGCGGTCCAGGTAAGTTTGTGTCAATTATCACAAGTATATGTAACCTTAAGAAGCGAGCAGTATTCATCATGGTTACGAACTTTGTTCTATCCGTGCGTATGCTCATGCTATTCTGACGGAGATTTAAACAATTCGAATCAGTTTGGTGGCCCCCTCGCTGTATCTGTATTTCTGATTGTCTTATCGGCTGCTGGAGATAATCATCTAGAGACGGTCTGGCGTGTGTGCTTTGGTATTGGCATATTGCTCCCTTTGACCGTATTCTTCTTCCGTCTTCGTATGCTGAGCTCTAAGCTGTACCGTAAGGGTGCTATCAAGCGTATGTATAAATCGCTTTGATACCCCTTAAGTTTAATGTGATCTTAGATCGCGTCCCATATGGACTCGTATTCAAGCGTTATTGGCGTGAGCTGATCGGAACTTGTGGGGCTTGGTGAGTCGTTCTCGGATCAAATGCACTGGTTTGCATCTCATCTTACAACCAGGTTCCTTTACGATTTTGTGAGCCAAGTATTGTGGTTGTACTTTTCACAAATCTCATATCTTTCTTCCTTAGGTCACGTTCCCTAACGGTGTCTTCTCGGGTACCATTATTTCCAGCGTTATCCACAATGGCAGCATAAAGGCGACGGCAGAATGGCAACTTCTTCTCGGAATAATCGCGCTCCCTGGTGTTTTCGTGGGTGCCTATCTCTGCAATAGATTGGGTCGAAGAAATACGGTGGGTGGCGCCTCTTTGATCATGAGCGCACACTGATTTGTATTTAGATGATGCTCGGCTTCTCTGGATACCTCTTATTTGGCCTCATCATTGGACTGGCTTACAACAAGATCACGAAAATTATACCATTATTCGTCATTTTGTGAGCTATCTCATTAAATCCTGTTTTTCCATTCCTGACAACTTCTCGTAGCTATGGGCTTATGCAATCAGTCGGAAACATGGTATATTTGCAATTTTCATGAGCCCAGCGACATTTCGTCTTACATCTCTTAGGGACCCGGTGACATGCTTGGTCTGACGAGCTCGGAGTCATATGCGACTCCAATTCGGTATGTCATTCATAACAATTAGGTGATCCCGTGCAAGGTACAAACTAGTCAACAGTGGCACCTGCTACGGTTTATCTGCTGCTATTGGGAAGACTGGAGCAGCCATTGGCACTCAGGCTTTCACTCCCATACAGAATAATCTGGGTAAACAGTACGTTAAAAGTTTTCCTTGATGTGAATCCCCTCACTGAACTGCCTTCGAAGGTGGACGTTCATTATTGCCGCTATTTGTGGTGTAACCGGTGTCCTGATCACGTATTTCTGCGTCCCAGACATGACTGGGGTTGACCTCGCCGACGAAGACGCCAAATTCATGAAATATCTCGCTGACAATGGTTGGGAAGGTGAGGTAGGTGAAGACAATGAGAAAGCATTCACAGACCACCACGTCGCTGAACCAGGTTCTACTGAAAGACTCTAATTGAAATACATACTTGAAGTCATTACTTGGCGGTGTCCTTGGATGCCATTCGTGACGGTCCACTTTTTGTCTACAGCACTCAATTTTATGTAAAGTAATCGTTTAGCTACTTCACCGAGTATGTTCTTCCTACATACTTACTATACTGGCATATCCCAAGAGATACAACAAATCCGTTAATTAACGTTTAGCGTGACGGCAACAAAATGAATCGGTGTCACGGCTGCCAAACATTAAATTCAACAGCGCGTTTCATTGCAGGAGCTGGGCTCATGGGGCATCGCCGAGGCAAGCTGGTGGTGTCTACCGACCCAACTACGAGTCCAGGATTCAGGTTGCACGAGCCGTGGATGTCGCACATGGCAAGGTCCTGTTCCTTCCAGCCTGGGCACGCACTACCACCACATTTCGCCGGTTTCAGTAGAAGTTCCCGCACCACATTGTCCATATTTCTTGGCTCAACCTTCACATCCGGCGAATCACGGACTTCACATTCCAGGTATGTCACTCAATACCCACTGCACATCTGCATACACTCTCTCAGCAATATTTACTACAGTATTAATAATTTACATTTAGCTCTATATAATTTTTCGTACATACTGTGGCTCACATATTTACTAGTAGCATCCTCATCAATTGCTGTTGAAGCTCACGAATCGCGTCTGCTATTGTGCTAAGCATTCAGCCAGTGTCACTTTCCGTTACTATTCGTGACATGAGTGTGACTTACGAAATAGTGGACGAATAGTCTAGTGTAACCGAGAGCATAGTTTTCTGCCCGCCGACAGTTCCGTAGGGTGGACTAACACTGGGCTTTCTTTTTGAATGTCGTCTCCGCTACTACGGACGTCACGCTCTCTGTGCTCATCGTGTCTTCGTTGGCAGCGTCACAGACTCTACTCGTCACAAGCAGCGTTCGCGACCTCGGCTGTTCCAATAAGTGACCTTCAGCAGACAGAAACACTATCTGCTGGACCTAGTAATGCGCTAGCGAAGGCAACAACGCGAAAGCTGCCCAAAGCCCCCGGAGAAACGAAGGCAGGGCGGCTGGTGGATAATGATACACCCTCACAGTCTCGAAATCCACTAGAACCGACTCGTGTCGACCTATACCTCGCCTCAATACACGCTGCTGGCTTGGAACCAACCTTGGATGATATAGAGCGCTGCAGACCTAAGAGACACTCATCACCGGAGTCGTCTAAATATGCAGAAGAGTATAATAATCTCTTGGACACGCTCTGTCGGTCCTTCAGCAAGGACCAGCTAAGGAATTTTACAGAGTTATATAACCTTGGCCCTATATGGACGCGTAGCTCCAGACGGAAAGTAGAATATGCGGAATCCATTATGGAGAAGCAGTGGAACTGGCCCTCTCTGAAGGAAATCGAGAGAAGGCAGAGGGACAAGACAGAGGTTGTTATAAAGAGTCAGTTTTGTTCTGCATATTGCTTACATGTTTAACTGACTTCTGTAGCATTCTCTGTCAACCCAAGTCAACTTTTTCTCATACTTGGTAAAGGTAAAGTCTAATCAATTCACGACATTCCTCTTGTAATGGCTACATTTCTAGATGGGGCCGACTTATTGCAGCTTTCTATGCAATATAACGTCCACATTTCGCTGGCTTCTAATCCACTTGCCTTGCGAGTGGAGGGATTCAGAGGCACAATGAAGCAACTCACAGAACACTTGAGTGAACTGAAAAAGGTAAGGTTGGCGAAATTCACGTCAGTGATAGGAAACTAACCTACCTCGAGGGTATTATTGATGAAATCATTGAACTGCCTTCAAAACAACCTATTCGTCAGGACCTGGTCCAACGCATATCGCGTCTTGCTGGCGCTTACGTGGAGAACCTTGGCCACAAGGGCAAGGCAGGTTCTACTACCTGTCATCTAAGCAAGTATTGAAAGTGCATTTAGATCAGGATTTGTGCTAAAGACACCGACAAAATGGACACTGCAAAACGACTCGCTATCCGTGCTTCAACGGAGGTTAGCTGCATCATTATATGAATATCGGCCATCCTGCTAGACTGATGGATGGCTTAGACTCAAGGTGGTCATTCTTCACCCCTCCTTTGCTACGTACCAGCAAAGGCAACGCTCGAGCATTCTGTAGCGCCTTCCTTCATGCCACACACGTACTCTATCTACCCTTTCCTCTCCCCTCGGTCTTTACCTTGGACGATGATGAAAGGTGCATCTTTCCGGGTCCGCAGAGTTGCAGATTGGCTCGGTGGTACTGCCGTCGAAGATACGACGAAAACAGGTGGTTTGGCAGGCGGGCAAGGAAAAATGGTAACCAAAACTGAGTTAGCTTATTCCCTAAGCCAGCTCGGGATTTCTACTGACATCTTCTCGAAGGGAATCTACAGACCTTGAGGCATTGCTCCTCAGTGCCCCAAAGGCCCACGGTCACGAGAGAGTCGTCTCCGCCTCGTAAGTGCTCACTAGATCAAGGGCGTTGTTTCTGACGTCACCGAAGCTTTGGACACATCGTTCTTGGATCTGCATCACCGACCGGACATAGTGTCCTCATTCCCCCTTTCAAGGGAAATTGGACATTATCAAAAATTCTCAAATGGTTGCACACTTCAAATACTGCGCTCACGTTTGTTCCCAGGTTTGTCCATTGATAGTACAGTCATCTCAACCATATGTTAATCTGGGCTTCCAGCCTTCCTGCTACATTATTGAATTCGCCACCTTCGAACCAAAAAGTCATTCACCGCGTCTTGTATCGCACGCTTCCAGAGTCCCGACTTGAGAATAGTCTCCATCAACAATTAATCAAGCTAGAATTGGAGTTTTCGACGTCAAACATGGGCGAGACCAAAGCAGCAGCACTTGAGCACAGTAACTCAGATCGCGAATTGGCGGGTGACTTGACTATGGAACTCGATGCCGATCATGACCTTTCATATTCTCTGGATTCATTCCAGGGCCCGGCCACTCCAGGAGGACCTTTGAAGTATGCAGAGCAAAACCCTCAAGAGGTGGTTGTCAACGTTTCTGAAGCAACGTGCCTCGAAGGCGTTGAATCCACGCTGGATATTATGATGCCTGATCGGTTCGTTAAATTTCCAATCCAATGCGATATGGACTAATTTTGGGGTAGTCCAATGGATGTTCAATTCACTGTCTTTGAACACGCATATGTTGGTGCAGGTGACCAGCCTCCGCTGCTTGTTGATTATACGAAGCAACTTCGACATTTGTGCGCTTCTCTCAAGCATACTTTTCGTACTTGATCTCACTCGCCCCATAATTGGCAGTCTAACGTCTCAAGATCGAGAAGCACCTCAACCACAACCGCCTGTTACACTCAACTTTCGCGGTCGGATCTACTTCCTTCAGACTAGCTTAAGTGTGCGCAAAGTTACTGAGACACCCCAGCTATCAACAGGCACTGGCGGGAGCGCGGAGCAGTCTATTTCTGCGCAAGTCATAACAGAAAGTGTGTTGGACTTGGAGAGCAACCAGAAGTTTACAACTTGTCAGGTGTGTTGACCACGAGATTCGGGTTTATGGTGGACTCATTTATAAGCTAGGTTGCGCTTGATAACTCGGCAGGTGGTGAAGCTTGGACTCGGTTCCTCGCATCGTGCGACCTTATCAGCACCGTTTCAATCCCTGCTCAGGGTCTTAAGGCAGATCTCTCAGTCCCTTAGCTTACCATCATTGTATACACTAAACTAATCATCGATGCTCTCGAAGTCATGGATGTGATGAATGGTATTGGCATTGCACGAAACTGGTTGAAGTATGGTGGTAAGTTGGTTATGCTCATCTTCGCTTTTTGTTTGCCTTTTCTCTCCGTTTTTTGGCACGTGTCTGTTCAACAGTCAGCTTCTGCAAGATCAACAAACGAAAAATTTACCTCTTTTCTCATCCTTGCATCGACCATAACATAACGCCCCTTGACGCCTTTTGGTCTACCTTGGACTCCCTTGTGAGTACCCTTCGCAACCACCACTTTAGTTTCCTTCTTCTGGTTTGCTTTTGCAGTTCCTTTGCGCATAAGCTTCTCTATCTGCTTTGCCTTCTCGCGTTCGCTCATGTCTGATGTTTCATTCACACCTTCTGCCTTCTTCATCGCCTTCTCCAGCCGTTGTGTTGCCCGTAGTTTCTTTCTCCCCTTGGCCTCCGCGACCTTCTTGATTGGACGTGCATCTAGTGCGCGTTGACGCATTCGCAGAGCAGCAATAGCCTCTTTAGTCACGGGGATATTTGGCTTGTAGTGTTTTCCCTCATCATCCAAGAACCACGACGGTAAACCGTCTTTTGCGTTGAGAGAATAACGGTTGAATCCGTCATTAAGAAGATGTGTTTTGGTAGTTTGGCGATTTACTAATCGCTGAGCAATGGACACAGATTCCGCTGTAGTTAGGCCATACTCTAGAACATGGGTCAGTGGTTATTAAAAACACCAGGTGTGCTCATCGCACGAACTTTTGATATGTTCCTTCTTAGCTTCATCTTGATTTTCGTCCTCAGCGTCCCACATTTCAACGTCGTCGTCGTGCTGCTGGGGCACAACTTCAAAGTCACCATCAGACGAAGCAGCAGGCTAGGTGATCTCATGAGCATAGAACTTAAAACGAGTAACTTCGGACTCACATCATCCTGCCATTCTTCCTCACTACCATCATGCTGCGCCGATGCCATGTCTACATCCTCCTCCTCCTCCTCCTCCTCCTCCTCCTCCTCCTCCTCCTCCTCCTCCTCCTCCTCCTCCTCCTCCTCCTCCTCCTCCTCCTCCTCCTCCCCTTCTTCACCCTCTATGTCATCAAGACCCTCTACACCTCCAAAAAGGTCTTGGCTGAACCATACCTGGGAAGCACGACCCGCTGCCGTTGGCTCCTCTAGCTTCGTCACGAGCTTGATCTTCTTATTTGACTTCACTTCTGTTGCTTGAGGTCTTCTCCTCTTTCGGCCTGGCGTCTCGTGTTCTTCATCGTCACTTTCATCCGAGGAATCGTCATTGTCCCCCTTCGCGGCCTGCATTTGATCCCATCCGCCTTCCTCGTCGCTTTCACTACTTTCGCCATTCTGAATTCCGCCCCATTCCTCCAGCATTTTGTTCCCCTGTTTCGCTTCTCTAGCCTTGAATTTTGAGTCGCGTTCCTTCAGTTTCTCTTGGTAAGCATCGTATAGGCCATCCATTTCTGCCTCGAGCCGTGACGCCTTTCGATCCCTTTCTTCCTCAGAATCGAGGACCTCATCCTCTTCATCGTCCCCTGCCACCACCTCATCTTCGTCCTCATCCTCCGGCGTGTCATCATCCACCCGTATGATCCCAATCCCGCCTTTGTGTCTCAGCTGCCTTTCAGTGCCCGTCAAATCGAACATATCTTCTTGGCCTACTCCTAGTGAAGCATCGATTTGCTCGAGACCGATATCTAACGGGGCGGTCATTTGCAGCTGCATTCGCTGGATTGTCTTGGTCTTTATCTCATTTGCACGACGACGTTCACGTTTAGTACGAGCAGCTGCCTCAACGTTCAATCTTTCGAGCTAATACACGAGTCAGAAAGATGAAAAATTATAGGTCCAGAGGACAGACCTCGTTTCGAATTTGCTGCTCTTCGTCAACTTCCTCGGTGATCTCGACGGTCTCTGTAACATCCTGCGTATCCTTCGCCTTGACATCTAACCCGATCTATGGGTAAACGTGAGTGACCGTAAACAAGTGAAATAAAACGGTACCACTGACTTCTTGACGAAGCGCAGTCCGCCACCTGAGTAGATTCTTAAAGTCGCCCTTGCCGAGCACTTTCAAATCCTCACAGCTTGCCTGAACTTCGGGAGTAGTGATATCAAGCTGCAACCACCTGAAGAACACGTCAAAATGGCACGATAGAGAACTAACGGTCATACTCTTTTTCCTCTGGCAACTCAAAGGTTATTTTGTTGACCAGTCCGAGCACCGCTATTGGATCAGCACTCCGAATAAAGTCAGCTGCAGAAGCCTTTTTGAACAAAAGGTAGTCCCCATCATCGTAACCATCACGTTTCCGACGCTTCTTTTCAGGTTGAAACACATTTGCCTGTGCGTTATTTGCAGAGGTACCCTTGTCTGTACCGGACGCAATAGTAGTTGACAGGTCCTTGAAAACATGTCTGGGGTCCAGAAACTTGGGGTCGATGTGTTTGGGAGCAAGGAAGTCCCGGCAGACCACGAAAATCTCAGCAGACACATTTCTGTCTTCATGTAAATATCAAATACTACTATCAAAGTAACAAGACGCACCTAGATGATGGAGGCTTTGTAGCTTCTACCTTTCCAAAAAGCTGGTTGAAGACCCAAATCAGATTATTGTAGTCGACACTTCGGAAAACTTTAGTGACAAATGTCCCGCCTTTGACGAGAAATTCCACAGCGAGTTTCAAACTCATCAGTACAAGTTCTGATTGGCTGTATGCGTCCTGTACCCATGCAGTACCGACGTTCGGTGCACCGTCATGAAGAACAACATCCGCCTTCCAATCCTTGATCTCGCTACGAATGAGGTTACGACACTGCGTAGTGGTAATGTCTGCAGCGAACGTGACCACACGAGGTATAGGTTTTATTGGTACAAGATCCACGCCTACAGAGTGAAATGAACCAATCAAGAGAGTCATTTTTAAGTGTCTGTAAAACACTCACCGACGATAACACTATTTGTCGGCATGTACTTGCTAGCCACCTGTAGCCAACCTCCAGGTGCTGCGCATAGATCAATGCAGCATCGGGCTGATTCGAGGAATGTGTATTTTTTGTTCAATTGAATTAGCTTGAAGGCTGATCGCGCACGATAACCTTGTTCTCTAGATGTGATGTGTTGGATAATGTGATATCTGATGATCTAGGAGATGCGTACTTTGCAAGCTTGTAATACTTGTCAAGCCGACCCTTTCCTGTCTTTTTTTGTGCTTTGCCCATGACTAGTTGACTGGCTGCAAGCACTTATACAGTCAAATCCTGACTTTTTTACATTAAACGTTCGGCACCAATATATGTACATTGATTACATCACCAACTAAAGTTCGTAGAAGCTAACACCCTACAGTGGTACTACTGCTAGAGTACTCTTTGAAATGGCGTTTCCCAACTCGTCTACACCACTCCTCCCGCGAAATTCGACTTTTGTAACGCCCTCGCTCCTTTGGAAGGCGGGGGCTATCCTTGGTTAGCAATTTGGGGACAGCTTGTTGACATGGTCTAAATAACGTTTGTCGTGCGGCGGTTGGTGATCAGCTACTACAGGAATGATTGCTGGCGCATTTGGTTCCCATGGATTGAAGCGCAGGCCAGGTATCACGCCTGATAGTTTGACCGCCTGGCAAACTGCGGCTCATTATGCGGTTTGCAACTCCTCCTCATGTACTATGACTCTTTTCTGACTTCGAGCGCCAAGATATTCAATGGCTTGGCCTTGTTCATGGTCTCGATGCATCCTCGATTTTCGACGCACAAGTTTGCTGGCCCTGCAATTGCAGGAGGAGGCTTTGTCTTCTCCGGCTCCATCGTAGCGCTTGTTCTGTGGAAGTGCGGCATCTCTCTTATACATAGTCAATGTCTGTGTTCTAATATCGCCATGCCATATCCAGATTGAAGTTCCTCGGACCTATCACTCCCTTGGGCGGTATATTTATGATTGCTGGGTAAGCCGAACAATACTTGCAATACTTCCAGCACACGCTCATGCCGTCGTGTCCAACAGGTACATCACCCTGGCACTCTAGATCAGCTAGCTATTCCTTCAAGTTATTACTTAGAATCATGATGTTCCCAAGCCTTGGCCTTGCTGTGAGCCATCGTCCCACCCTGGTTGTACGTCAGTACATGATACTTTGGAAACATGACTACTTTTTCTCGTATCTTTTTCTTGTCGACAAATGTCCATACACTCACTTCTAGTTGCAGTCGTGAGTGTCGAAGTTTGCCTTTGAGCGTGGGCTGCTAGTAGGTTTGATTTAGTGCGCAATTCCAATCATCGGCTAGGGTTCCTTTGACTCTAGCCTTGTTAATCGTGTACTGCTACGATACTTCAGTAGATCGTGTCCTTTGTGGCAGAAACTCTTCAGGATAGTTGTGTCAGTATCGAAAAGGGGCACTGAGGTTTTGTTTCCACATCTCGTCAGTACTTAATTAATTGATCCTGTTTGCACGCCTGCTCCGGCTGAGCGCTGCGAAACGTTAATCGCTTTCCGTAGTAACGCGAAATTCAGTGTCACGTGATGGGCGCGTTGAGGATAGAAGAGAGACGTGCCAGCTCCGCTTAAAATGTGAGAAATAATCGTAGTGAGTACATCGTCACCCGGTCGACAGTTTTCGCAGCGACCCCTCCCGTGATATCCCCTACCAGCCCGCCCACTGTCACACACGTCAAAATCTAATTATCTTAAGTGGTTTGAGACACCATCAGAAGTCTTTTTTACGCGTGAGTACTCGTTGCGTTGGGCAGGAAATATATAGCGCTTAATAAGAGTAATCGGTACACATAGCCTAGCAGTCACCTGCCATGTCAGACACGCGACCTACTCTAAGCACCTCGCTTTCATCTACTAGCACGTCATCTACGAACGCAACTCGCACCCTGAAGCGACGTTTGACGTCTACTTCGGACCTCCCTTTTTTCACGCCTGCCGCCGCATCATTTAAGCCAAAGCCATATACACCAAACGGCTCCTCAGTTCCTGTCCCGCCGCCGCCTAAATTACAACCTTCTATGCGGATGCATTCAGCGTCATCCTTAGTTCAACATATGCCTATGATGGATCCTTCCCTGTCTGACCCGAATATATTTTTTATTCATCCTCCGTTCGTTGCCTTTCCAAATGCTCACCTGTACCCGGAAGGCCTCTCCTACTCGTTGATGGCTACGAATCCGGATTGGTTCTTAGATCAGAACGATTTTGTCAACGGGTCGTCTACCAATCCAGATGCAATCCCTTATCCTCCGCAGCTTGAACCGCCCAGAGGATGGTGTCCAGCCAAGAAAAAGGATCTCAAGGCTTTGGGCCCTGACGGCTGGCCCGAAGGTGAAGAGCCCAGGCTGCGTTGCACATTCTGCAGGAGAACGTATGCAGGGGTCAATGCAAAAAGTATGTGGAGGCGACACGTATATGAGAAACACAAGATTGCCATGTCGAATCGTCGTGAGGGACATGATCGTACTCGTGGTGGCCGCGGATCTGGCAGTAAGCTTATGCCCGCGAGTTGGCATCTCCTGATAACTAATTCTCATTTCAGGGGAACGAAATAACTATCACGATAAGGAAAATTATACTGATGATCATCGGGGTTCAAGGGGACCAGATAACAAATCCAGGAAGTCAAGAAACTTGTCCTCAAGGAATAGTATAACACCTACCCCAGACCCAGAGGATGATGACGATGCAGATGATGATGATTTCCCCGTGCCCTCTGCGCCTGTCATTGAACAGAATGAGTTTCCTGCACTTTCGTCACCTCCCGTCCTCAAACATGCAAAGCCATTGGACGAAGGAGTCACGCTAACAGATTCCTATAATTTACGGGCAATTCAAATTGATGACTCGAGTGCATCCCCAAAAACATCAAGATTTGCTATCCCCATGTCTCCTTACGACCCGACATTGACACCATCGTTCCGCCATTCTCCACCGCGTCTTCCTTCAGACCAGCCCTGGCGCTTTCCGAGTCCAAGCCACCCCCTTCATTCTGGGGCTAGGGAGTTTTGTTTGTCGATGCTCGCGCGTGCGACTCCTGTAACGAAAGGTTCATCTGTTATCGATTCAAGCTCCCCAAGCACTGGTACGACGAGTGTCATGAATACTCCCTGCAGTACCACTTTCCGCGGAAAAACGTTCGGCGACCTTAGTAGCATATTCACCGAAGGAAGCTCTCCCATCATCTTTAGACCTTCACCACGCCACTTATTTTCTGACAATCGTTCGCCAGTGCCAGTCTTTACTCGCCTTGACTTCCGCAAACGCTTGAATGACTCCTCACTCGGCGGCAGTCTACGTCGCAAGCTTGGTCATGACCGGAAAAAAACTGCCATGAACAACTCCTTTGACTTGCAGGGCGGCTGGCTTTCTGATAACTCGCTCTCATCTTCAGTGAGCAGTGCAGCGATACCAAGCCCTGCCCGCTTAACCAGCGATGATCCCTTTGGGAGCCCGTTCAAGCCGCTTGGATCTACCTTGCGACACCCGCCCGAAAAGAGGGTCATATCGCCGCCTCTATCTAGTCCAGAGGCGGAAAGCCCAGTGATGAGACATTTCCGTCTACCGGACAATGAAACGTCAGAATCCAATGACGGTCTCGTTGGCCTAGGCATTGGATTGATGGCACCGTTCGATCTTTCTACTTCAGCGGAGGAGAAGGATGAAGCGGAAGTCGAGGGAGTGTTAATTGATGTTGCGGATGATTTGGCACCACCATCAAAGAAACGCAGAGTGACGTTTGGTTAGCCTGAGTGATTTTGTTCGTTTGTTCTACCAGTTTTCGATCCGCTTTGCCTTTGTATGTCGTTATATCTGAATGGTTTCCGCTATTTATCAGCTCCAGAATTTTTCACTTGGCTTTGGCAATTGTTTCAGATTTGTACATGTACACCCGCCCAACCTACCTTACTTGTATACTGTTTTTCCTTGACATGTATTTGTTCCTACGGTCATTTGGCCTCCCCATGGCCGGATTTCGCCCGGAGTGAGATCTCAAATTCACAACATGATTAATCTGATCCTATCCCAGTGCCAAGATTTTACTTGGAAAGTACGTCGTGAACTGCCCCGCCTAGTGTATTTATTACGCCGTTGTGATGAACGAATGAAATACAGTACATTTGGTGCATGAGGATGTGAGAAAAAAGCGGAGATATGAACGAAATATTCCTAATTAAAGGTATTGTTGATCCATTTATTATACGTTTGCGGAGAGGCACATCAAGGATATCAAGCAAGGACAGCCTAGTCGCACCGATTCTAGGTGCAAAGCATTCCCTCGTACACCCGTCGTCGGTCGTCTTGCCTCCTGCCATCCTTCAAAGTTAAAGGTATGTTTAAATCTGTATCTTGAGCGTTTCAATTTGCTGACAGCCACAAACCACCCGGGCTTATCTCCTTGCGAAATTGGCAGGTCTATTCAAGCACTCGCTTATTCTGCGGACACATTGCTCTCCTTGAGGGCTTCTCTTTCAGGCAACCAAGTAGGATTCAATCAGAATGCACAATATCAAATGTATGTCTTGCTTGTCTACTGTCAATATCAATATCAGCTAACACGACATTCAGGTGTTGTAGTTGGTGATGGTGCTGTTGGCAAGGCAAGTTTTCCTTCACATCGAGGCTTTGGCGTCGAGAGATTCATGGGTGATCCAGACGTGTCTTCTCATCTCTTATACCACAAATGCCTTTCCAGTGAGTTTCATGCGCTCTTGTGTTGGAGCAACATTGAAGTTGTTTCATAGGGAGAATACGTGCCAACAGGTATGATCGGTGGGTGACCTGACAGTGCTGCCGTCTCACTCAGTATCAGTATTCGACAACTACTCTGCAAATGTGATGGTTGACGGGAAAACCATCTCTCTCGGCCTATGGGATACCGCTGGACAAGAAGATTACGATCGTCTCCGTCCACTCTCCTACCCTCAGACAGATGTCTTTTTGATCTGTTTCTCGCTCGTCAGTCCACCTAGCTACGAGAACGTTAGAACCAAGGTGCGTCACTCTTCGGTCAAATACACCAACTTTTTTGTTAACCGCAGCAATCCAGTGGTGGCCCGAGATTTCACATCATGCACCATCTACTTCGGTGGTCTTGGTTGGCACTAAACTCGATTTGCGCGAAGATCCTGCTACCATCGAGAAACTTCGTGACCGGTAAGTCTAGCATGCTACACGAGACCTGTTCTTAATCCCAAATTACCCAGACGCATGCAGCCCATCCAGTACACGCAAGGAGTCTCGATGGCGAGGGACATTGGTGCTGTCAAGTATCTCGAATGCTCTGCGCTATCGCAAAAGGGCCTAAAGACCGTGTTTGATGAGGTTATCCGTGCTGTTTGTGAGCATTTCTATTCATCCTCATCGCGAGACGTGTTTAACCAGACTTACAGTGAACCCTCCCCCGAAGGAAAAGAAGCGCAGTGGTCGTGGTTGTGTTATCGTATGAGAGTGGACTTGTTATTACCATGCTCATATAGATGGATTTTCTTTGTTTTATCATATCACGCCCATTTATGTTGTTGCTTCTGTTACGACCTATATGTTGCATCTGATGGGTTCTTAGTCATGGGGCGGGAGCGTACTTAGTGCGAGTCCAAGTAAGAATGTCGAGTGTAAATATTATGGTCCCGGATATGGTTGAGCGAGTTACTTTTAGGATTGTTTTAGAATTGACGTTGTCTGAGGTGGTTCTTCGACGTTTCAACACCTTTGGACCTGCACTTCTTCCACTGCTTCCACTAGTGGGCCTTACTTATCAGTTGGTCCAAGTTTGCATGCTGTAATCACTCGCTATCATACTCTTTATCAAGTCCACGTTTCCAATCTTTATCGATGCCTAAAGCACCAGGTTCAGTCGGCTCGGGAACAGGCGGCGCTACTGTACTCAAGAGAAATCAGGTGCAAGGCTTTTTTCTCTTTCCCTCCCCAAATACTCAAATTATCTTTTAGGCCTGCCATCAGTGCCGACGACGCAAATTGGTGAGTTTTAATATGTCATTTGAGGCAGCATTCTGACCTATACCACTACAAGAAATGGTAAAGTCATGTCTAGATGAGAGCTGCCTTTGCTCAGATAATCATCCACCAGTGATGCCAGACGACCCTGCTCGACGTGCGTTCGCTCGCACAAGCATGCTCGTGACCATGCACAGCCCGGGGCAAACTTGCCGGAAAGGCCGGAATGTACATTCGACGAAGGTACGCGTCATCGCTGGTAGATTGCTCTTGTGTTCAAATCTCAGATCAGTTGCAACAACGGAGACTCCATCTACTCCATCAGATAGTCCCAAGAACAGGTTTGAGCGACTGGAGACTCGGATAAGTACGTGTATGGCTTGCTCAATTCGTGGAAACTCATCACCAAATTCTCGTCCTCAGAGGAGCTCGAGGCACTTTTAAGCCAAAAGGAGCAGGCAACATCCCCAGATGCTAATCCATCTAGCAGTTCGACTCTCTCGTCTATCCAGAATTCACCTGCTTCTATTCAATCTGTGCCATCAAATTCACGTCCTGGTTCGGCATCCACAATGAACTTCCCGAGTGACCTAGAATCCCTATTGTCACCATCTAATTTGGACATGAATGCTCAGACGGTTAACCCGTACTTTTGGAATGGCAATTCACATCTCATTGAAGGTGCAAGCGCCAGGATCGATGCTCCTTTGCTTTCATCTGGCATGGGTACGTGTGGCGACCCCTCTTTCTTGTAAATTTAGACTCCATTTCTCTTGGCAGACGTCATCTGGTCACATTGGCCTGTCAACCTCCCCCACCCAGAACTCATTCGTCATTTGTGAGTCGTTTCTCCGATCAATTTCTTCGGCTTATTGTTCGTACCAGGGTCGATATGTTCTTTTTGTTTCACCCGCACGCATCCCGCCTTTTCCACAGGGCTAACTTCATAGCTTCGTTATCATACCCGCCAGATCATCCAGATTTCCCCGTTGCACCCGTTCTACATGCCATATGCGCCGTCAGTGCCATCTACACTGCAGCTGGAGGACCCCGGACAAATGCTGCAGACTTTCCATGTAAAAACTTCATCTTTTAATTGTTCCAACGCCTATTTGGCTAACAATCGCCTTTGTGGCAGACGAAGGTCAATTTGCACAGCCGGACCTGCCTGATACATTTGCAGAGCAACAAGCAAGCCACGCTAAGGAAACGGTCGAGAAGTACTTGAACAAAGGTCAACACTTGGTTCAATGCGTGCAAAGTCAGTGAGTCTATGTGAGCGGCTGCGTAGTGACTAACTGTCTTTCAGCATATGTTCTACTGACGTGGTATTATTGGTGTCACTCGAAGTCAGTTTATCTTCTATCGAACGTTCTCTTACTTACCAGCTTGTGGCAGATGGGTTGAGGTTGCTATGATTTACATGCCTCATGAAATATCGCTAACTGCCTTTGATGCAGTTATTTACTTGCAGTGGCCAATCTTTGCGCGTTGCGATTCCGTTGGGACTTAACATTTGCCCTCCATTTCGTTCGTTACTTGGGAGCTCCCCAACAATGTCGATAATCTCGCCGCCTCGCACTCCAATTGAAGACGAAATACGAAGAAATACCTTCTGGCTGGCGTACGCAGTTGATCGCCAGCATGGATCTGGCACTGGTTGGGCGCTCTCTCTTGATGATGACGACATTGCCCAAGTTTTCCCAGTCACAATGGAGCAATTTGAGTTGGGGGTTAGTACAACACTAAGCTTTTCTTCCTGCTAGCTGATAATCTACTCAGATACCTGTGAACTATAACGTGCGCCAGTGGTGTCACGTCAGAGAAGCGGTGCTTTTCCATCCCCCCGATATCACCGATTCCTTCACATTGTATATCAAGAGCACTATGCTTCTTTCTTTCATCAAAAACTTCAACCACCGATACAGGATCAAATCGAATTTGGGAGACGCGAGATTCCTACCGGCAAGGAACTTTGCAACCCAGGTGTATGGAGATCAGCCAGATATTCGGTCATCCCCTGCCTTCCTGGAATTGGATCAGTTGCTCATGTCGTTCCGGTCATCGTTTCCAAGTAATCTGAAAGACCCATTCAGAAACGGACAGGTGGACACGCACTTATACACGACCTTCCTCACCGCACATGTGTGAGTTGTTGAAGTTTTCTGACTACGTGTCTAAGCTCATTGTCATATTTTCAGAGCAATGATTTTGCTTCATGAACCTCACGCCAATCTAGAGAGGAATTGCGCTTCCGCTGCCAAAATACTCGAGAGTGCCCGTGCAATTCTGGAACTCATATATGCGATGTGGTCCACGAATTATGATATCGGGCTTTTGGACTATTTCTGCTCGGTATGTGATAGCTAACCTGGGGTCGCTTATATCTCATCTACTTTGCTAGTTTTGCTGGTATCTTGCCGGTCAATGTTTTGGCCGTTTCCTCCGCGCTGCCAAGGAAGCTGCTTGTGTCCAACAAATAGACACCCTACGGGCAGAGCTCGACTTTGTAAGGTCAGTGGTGCGTGACGCGTGGTGATTTCCTGAATAACAAACTCTTGGCTCAGGATGGCATTGAGCAAGATGGCCGAACGAGTTCCCCTCTCATGTACGTTATTCGGATGACTTTTGCTTCCGGTACTCAATGTTATATTTTTAGACCGGTATCAGAGAATGTTGGATGCCGTGCATTTGAGTCTTGCGGGCGGGAGACCAGTTTCCACTGTCAGCGATCAGCAACTGCTTGCCAATGTCTCGCAGGCGAGCGCAAATCATCCCGACGTGGCATACTTCCTTAAGATAAATAACATAAATCCCCAGCCTTAACTTTTCCCCGCTTTTTTTTTTGGAAACAGTCTGTCTCGTTATTAAGTTATCGCAATAAATAATGTATTGTAAAGTTTACCATGTTTTGCCTCTGTCCATGAAGTACTTTAGCAGCTACAGCTTCATGTACTTTGTTTTTTTTTGAATCTTGATGTGATACGATTACGACAACGATCATGCGTTTCACTGTGTATGTAATTCATTTAATGACCTTTGGACGTCCTGCCTGGCCAGACAAGCCTGGACGAACAATAGACTATCGATGTCGAACACTCTTTCTGCACTGGCATCAAGCTCCGAAGAAGTGCAGGAGTTGCCTGCTCTGAATTTCTTAGGTCCGCCCGGAACATATTCCCATCAAGCGGCGTTTGACGTTTTTGGTGATTCTGTCCATTATGTCGCAAAGCAGACCATCAGTAGTAAGTCGGTCTTTTACTGGTCGCTCATATCTGTGATGATCTATTGGATCCTCTAGGCGTCTTCGAGTCTTTATCGCCTGAGCTGCCTTTTGGTATCATACCCCAAGAAAATAGTACCAATGGGTCGGTGATCGAAACCTACAACCTACTCCGATGCGAATTCGCCGGTCGAGATAGTTTTGTGAGAGGGGAGACAAACCTATCGATTAAACACTCCCTGGTAGTTCGGAAAAATGTCAAAATCGAGGACATCGAACACGTTTTCAGCCACGAACAAGTGAGATCACATGCGTCTCCCTTCTTGCATGTAGCACATTTTAATGCATCACTGCAGGCTTTAGGCCAATGTAAGGCATTTTTGAAAGGACATCTTCCAAGAGCGTCGCTTGTGCCGACAGACTCGACTGCGAGCGCTGCTCGTGCATTGCTCAACCCACCGTCCGAGAGCTTTGATCCTTTCAAGAGTGCAGCGATCTGTTCAACGGTCGTGACTTCGCTGTTTCCTGGCCTGGAAGTGTTGCACACTGGCATCCAAGATGGAGAATGTAGGTGATCTTTATGATGTATCACAGAAACGAGCTAAGATTCTGCAGCCAATATGACGCGCTTTTATATTGTATCCTATGGCGCGGACGCTCGGGTCCCATGGCAAACGCCACCCATCTACCAGAAGCGTGCTCTAATCCGTCTCTTGCCTGACAGAGACTCTTTGGCGTGGGATTTTTCACGGGCGATCAAGGCACTCAATATACCCATCTCCCGCATAGATCGACGCCCATCCCTATCTTCACCCACCTTCCATGATGTATACTTTCTTGAAGTGTTTGCTGAAGGGGGAGAAGAAAGTGATGTTACCTGGTTCGATCGTGTGAACCAGGCCGTCGAAAGATTAAAGCAAGAAGGTCTGGAATCCACAGTTCTGGGCATATGGTAGTATAGATATTCGTGTAAACCAGAATTACAAGTATATTCGTTTCATGCAAGGTCTACTTGCACAATATCGTGTCATAATAAAATTTCGAATTCCATCCGTTAAGCACGCGAAGCCGAGAAACAGGAGAGCCTGAAGTTCACAATCTAGACCTCCCACCGATGCACATAGTTCAGGAGGCGGTACCCTTGATTAATTCATCGGCTCTTTCCGAGCGCGGTATAAAGCGACATTTGAAGGGCTTGGGTCGGCTTATCCGTGACTGTTAATAGCTCATCTTCTGATAGCAACGACGTGACACACCTAAGCAAGGAGGAAGTGTATGCAACTTCAGGTACAATCTCGAGGCCATTTTCATCAATGCATCTCTCGATCGAGTACACAGATAAAATGCACGCAATGGAAAACCAAACAGTTTCGTAAGCTAGCCAGCGTCCAGGGCACATCCTGAACGAAGTGAATACTTTTGGCTAAATGAAAGTATTTTGGTAACAAACCGTCTTCCGAACCCGAAGGCTGGCCAAGGAAGCTTGTTGATACCAAGGTCATCGTTCTTCTTCTGGTCTGAGAAACGCTCAGGACTGAAAATTAACGGATCCGGGTAAACATCGGCGTCATGAAGGATTGCCCTATAAATTATGTATAAGTTTCATTATTTTTCATTTCATCGATGTTTGACTTACCAAACGTTGGGCAAGACCGAGGTACCGTTTGGAATAAAATAACCGTTGTATTCATCATCTGAAGTTACAAGGCGAGCCAACCCCATAGGGAGTACTGGATTCCATCGCAGACATTCCCAAACAACGCAGTCAATAAATGGCAGTTTAGATCTGTCAGCAAACGTTGGCAGGCGGTCCATGGCAAGAATATCATCAAGTTCTTGCTGCGCTCGTGTCTGCACTTCGGGATGAACCAGCATCGCCAGAACGAAGGAAAGCAAGGTAGACACTGTCTGCAAAATCGAGTAAGTGACGACCAAAGAACTCATGAATATTTGCAGCGAACCGTATCTGCCCCAGCTGAAATTGAGTTAGAGTCAACATATCCAAGTGCAACGAAAAGAATGACCAACCTGCATAGGAGATACCTGCTACGTTTTTAATTACGGTCTCATAGTCGGGATCCGAATTTACATCCTGTTGCAACTTCTCTAATTCCTTCTGCGCAAAACACGGAATAGCAGTGCCGTTCGCCATACGTTCCCTCACTGCCTGAAATGGTTGGTCGATCATGGCCCTAGTCTTTTTGCGCCAGATCGACGCTTGACGCTTGAAATTTGCGCCGGGCACGCGTGCAGGAACGTATTTTACTGCAGGCATGGATACTAGTCAGTACTGTTGATCGTGGCTCGTGCAACCAACTTACAAAATGGAAGATAATCAACCAAAAATGTGCCAAAGATGCCTGCCATACCAAGACCCTGCATCGCTTCGTCTGCCAATGTGACGTAAATGTCACCTTTGTCTGAAACCTCATGTCCGTACGAGATTTTCATAACGATAGCCGCGGCTGTTCGGCGCAAGTGGTGAGCAAAATCATCCGGTGTATGGGCCAAATTTCGGAGAGTTGTATAAGTCTCCTTGGTGACGACCGAGTAATAATCCGACGTCAGCAGCCTGTGAAAATGACGATGGAAGAGAGATCTGTCTGAGGGGCGAAAATTCACTTTTACATGCCTGTTATAATAGACCACGTACGTTGTTTCCACCTCTTCCCGTACGGCATTGACGAAAAGAGCCAATCCCATCCCATTCTACGACTTTCAGCCACGTATCAGTGATCGATTGACAGCAGTACTTACAGTTCGACCACCATAGTTCTGACAGGCCTGTGTTCTTTCATGATTACCCAAGAGACAGATCAAGTCGCAGAACGGACTTGCCTTGAGGAATATTTTCTGCTCCGCCTTTCAAAAAGTTCCTCTGCTGCCTGTGCCGAGTTAACGACGATGATGGGGTTGCCTAGAACGTAGACATAGATGATGTCGCCTGTAAACGTTATGGGTAGATAAGTTAATTACTCCTAATGTTCCATGTGCCCTACCGTATAATTCTTTCCACTTAGCATAATGAAGCCACTGATAGCTAGATGGCAAATTAAAATTGCCAAACCAACCTGTGGGAGGACCAGGCGGTAGGGGCCTCTTCACGGCAACTGTGGCAAGTAAAGCGCGTGGTAGGAACCATGCGAGTGCGAAGAGGGCGAGAAAAAATGTGGAAAGATCAGCGAGGGGGAGGCTGAATGACGGCGGCATCATATTCTATGATGGAAGGGAAGATAGGCTGACGAGGCAAACGTGAGGATACGAATTACCTCGGCAGCTGGTATTTTATCTCGGTGTGACGATCTGATCATTAGAGTTCTATGCAACCCTTAATAACTACGTACAGTTGACGTACAGATTATGCGAAGCAATGCATTGCCCCTGATAAACCCCGTGACGTGTCGCTTCTTCTTTGCACCGCTTTCAACTTGTCAATAATGGCCACTAACCCATTAGCTGGCCCATCAGCCCTCAAGGATATCGTCCATCCTCAGTTCCACCAGAACAACTTTTCCGAAGAACTCTATGTAAAAAATGAACTTGGTCTCAAGCTCGATAAAGGTAACTTTCTTGCGTTTTTAATACCATCTCTTCCACTCACAGCTTCTTTCAAGACGATCAAATATGTCGTCTGTCCTTGACCCCAACTGGTTGTCCATTGGGTCCACTTCACTGTCCTTTACGTCATACAACACCCTCTTCACAGAACTTTCAGCCCCCAAAGCAGTTACCCACACATCCTCGCGAACGAGAACGTTTAGCTACAGTCTGTAAACATTGGCTACGTGGTTTGTGTAAAAAGGGTGATGCGTGCGAGTTCTTGCACGAGTACAATCTCAGGCGGATGCCAGAGTGTTGGTGGTATGCAAAGTACGGTTATTGCTCAGCAGGAGATGAATGCCTCTATGCTCATCCCAAGGAACGCCGTGTTGAATGTCCTGATTACAAACGCGGATTCTGCAAACTAGGTGTGTGCCTCTGTCAACTCGTCACGTCGGATCTATTAATCGTATCATATTGCACATAGGACCAACATGCCCTCGCAAGCATGTTCGCCGTGTCGCCTGTCAACTCTACCTAACCGGTTTGTGCCCCCTAGGTCCAGACTGCCCTCGTGGCCAGTGCGTGTAATCCATAATCACTCTTCTTGCTTGACTTCTTTGTTGTTCCCAGTCCAAAACCTGACTTACCGCCACCTAAATCATACGAACCTCCATCACCGCCTTCAAATCGTGACCTTGGCCCGCCGCCACCAGGATATGGTCGGTATGCTGATTTCGATCGGGGAGCCATGGGTCCACAGGTGACGTCGCACAGTGGAGGACCGAACGGTGGCGGACCACCTCGTAGAAATCTCGATGAAGTGCTGTGTTTCAAGGTTTGTTTCTACGCGTTTATTTATAGAGGAAAATACTCATCATGCCCAGTGCGGAGAAAAGGGTCATTATGCCAATCACTGTAGGAATCGTAATGTACCAGGCAATCGCGGTGGTTTAGATCGTGCCAAGAGGTTCGGCATGGAAGACTAGGCACCTATTGCCTCGTGAATGTATTTCGTTGTGCCTTGGAATGAACCTGTCGTTTCGACACCTTGAGAGAAACGACACACATGTGCAAGCGTCACCAACTACACGAAGTGGCGACTTCCGTCACTCTAGTCTCCAGGCACCTGCTGATCAGTGCGCCTGAAATGATTCCCTTTTTCTAACAAGGTTCTCCTGCCGATGCTAACCCTGTCAAGTACGCCTGGGAGGGGATAACATCTTATTTTCGTTGAAATGCAGCATTATACATACAAGTACTAGTACCGAGAAGAATCTTGGCTAGGCCGGAACAAAAATCCATATGCGGGATATGAACAGATGTCGTGATATATCATGTCAAAGAGAGTTTCTCTAAGTCCAAACAGGTAGCCCCAGCGCGCCAGATTTGTTGTCTGGCCATGTACCTAATTTACAAAAAGCGTCCTCAACTAAGATTTAAGTTCAAGGTGTCATAAACTACCTACGGCCCGTAGCGCCGAAACTGTCCTGTACTAGTATTGTTGTATACTAGTATCTGGTTATCACGGAAACACTCTGACCACTAAGGTTAACGTTTAGGACTGCTGCATGGACTTGAAAGCTTGACGTCTTGACAGACCATTCGCGCGCTAGCGATCCTAATTTGGTGGCTTATGTCATTGTTTGGCTGGTGACAACGGGGACTACTTTACAATTATGTAAATATTCGAATCAAATAGTCTGATTAGGCTTGCTATATACTTCCCCCCACTGTACTCCCACCGTTTGCCCCTCGCCTCCGAGCCCATCAAACTCTAGTAGCACAGTTCGGATGTCTCTCTTGTAGCCACGTCAAATGCTGATCCTATCTGATTTACTCATACGCCAAGCTAACGCTCGGTCCAGCCCAACCTCATAGATTGTGTCATCGACTCTAGAGCCAGACGAAGCTGGACTCACGTTAAATGCTGATTCTATCTGGTTTGCTCATACGCCTTCCCGAGCTAACGCTCGGTCCAGCCCAACCTCATACATTGTGTCATTCACTCTAGAGCCAGACGAAGCTGGGCTCACGTTAAATGCTGATTCTGTCTGGTTTGCTCATACGCCTTCCCGAGCTAACGCTCGGTCCAGCCCAACCGCATACATTGTGTCATTGACTCTAGAGCCAGACGAAGCTAGACTCTTGTGGCCACATTAAACGCTGATCCTATCTGGTTTGCTCATACACCTTCATGTCATATGAAATAACCTAAGTGCGCTGTCAGCTCCCACTCTCCGCACAGCTACCGCTTTGGCTGCCACGGTGCTACCTATCCTCCGCACGCATCAAGAGAGACATGGATGATTGCTATTGATGCAGTAGGATGATAGTACTACCTGTAATTTAGGGGGACTTCAATGGGTTGCAAATACAAAAGGCGTAAGGCAACCTGTCAGGGCGGACTAAAGCCAGGACTGCGTTAACCGGAAGGTCGTTCTCGTGTATGTCTGAAGAAACTTGTGAGAAGCTGGAGTCTAGGTTACCGCTGTGAAGGGTGTTGAACACGACTCTGGGAATCCCTGGAATCCAGAAACGAGTACAGAACATGTACTACACAGATCGTGGAATGTTTGTGCGGGAAAATTAACGGGTCAAGCGAGTATAAGCTTGTACTGGCGGCTGTCCTCCGTGACGATGACATAAGCTTTGTCACTTTCAAATTCCCAAAGGTCTGAGAATCTCCGAGTCAGTGAGTTGTGAATCCTGACCTTTCTTTTGCTGTTTCTATACGATGGGCTGGCAGAAAACCTTTTCGCTTTCACAAAGATCCAAGGGGTGTCATCTTGTCACGGATGAGGTTTATGCCCATATCACACCAGGTATCAAGGACGTGAAGGTACGACTAGTACTATTCACTTGATTCGGCTATTCCAACACTGCTCGGATCACATCTTGCACAGGTTGGGATGCTCTTCCTCTTCATGTGAGTGTAGCGTAGCCCGTATTTCGGAAATTATCAAACACTGTCAGTCAACACACGTCAGCCGCGCTGACGATCAATGAAAATTATGATCGAGGTCGGTTCTCAGTGAAGTACTAAATCTGTGAGTTAGTGCTCATCATGTTTCGGTGCTCCAGACGTTCGCAAAGGAGAGACATCATGAATCAGTAGAAGACGACTATGTTGGCTGAACAATTCAACAGACATGGACATGGCTCTGGATAACATCGTTCCCGAGAGTCTTAACTGGAAGCACACGGACGAAGGCCCAGAGTAATTATTTCACGTTCACCAGTGCTTACTGATAATCAGACTCATATACGTGTGGCCTACAGTGACTCGTATGTGGCTTTGTTGAATTTCTGCAAAGGTGCTCTTTCACCAACGTAAATCCTGTTCTTTCAGCGTATCTCACACGAAGACATCCTTGATCGGTGCCACTATCTCGATCCCAATTACCGATGGCCGTCTGAACCTCGGCACCTGGCAAGGTTAAGACTCTTGCATTTGCAGAGCTCACTTAATTATTCACATCCGTTCATGTTCTAGGGATCTACTTGACTGAATTCAGACACGCAGCACATTCTAGGCGGATCGTTGCCACAGTTTTGTAAGCGAATTATATATTCTCGGGGTATTGTTAGCATCAGCTGACTTAAAGATCAGATCATAAGTTGCTGGCAACATATATATGGAGCAATTGCAGTGATTATAAAGACCTATCATACGCTCCTGGTTACATACGTGCTATAGTGCTTTTTATCCCCTGTGGGTGATTTGGACAAACTTCTCAAATGGAAAGACTGCCTAAACCGATCGGAATCTATTATGATCTACATAGTCACGCGAGCTGACAGTTCCATTGAACATGAGGTAGGTGCACCTCGCTTCATGCGGGAACTTGCGCAGTCATGATTTTGCTCACCATTCGATATTAACGTGAGTAAGCCTTTTGAATACAGCAAAAGATCGTACATCCCGTTGTTCTCGCGATAAATTCCCCTTCAGCAAGTTAATCACCCTTCGGCACACATCCCGCGCGAAGACGGCCAATTACAATCATTTCAGTTATCATTTATCACTATACCAATGGCCGGCCCGCTAAGAAGTTCTTCGAAGTGGGAGAGATCCTAAAATTGTTGTACTTCTTACGGTGGCACTCAGCCAAAAACGCTCTAGGGTGATGGAGCTCTAGTACCCGCTAGGAATGCCGTTATGTACGCTTCAAGCATTGCATGAGTCACGGCTTGTCAGGAAGAAATGAGTGCCCCAAAACGCGTAACCCCTGTCATACATGTAGCAGACCCGACGCCATTCGTATTGTTGCCGATTCTTCCAAGGCTACCCAATTAAAGACTCAGTGGTTCCCAATGCCATCGCTTCTTTGCTTGCCTTGTGGCACGCATGTTCTTTCATTCTCTCGTACTGTTTCTTTTCTGCGGTGGACTCGGACTGCCGCAATGCTATTGCCAGTGCATCATTGATACCATCATGATGTCTTCTTCAGTGATCTAACCCATCAGCAAGCTCATCACGGTCCACTACGTTCCTCATCAAATGTCACCTTGACGATATGATCATTTTCCTTCAGTGCTCACGCTCTCTCACGTCGAGTTACCTTTTGGTTTTTTTTTACCGACCTTCAGTATGACACCACCAATGAAGTACCTCCGTGAGCGCTCCGAGTTGAAAGGAAATAATTGAACTTAATAGTAGAGAGCAATTGAAAAACGAGTCAATAATTGAAACCTTCCGTCTGGAATGGACCGAGCTGTGGGAACAGCCGGGGAAAGCCCCGCGGGTGACTTTCAGTAGGTAAATTGTTCCTTTTGGAAAGGCACCGCTTCTTCGACAGTCCTGGCACTATGCTGTGTGCGTGTACTCACCAATGTCGACGGCCTGTACACAGGATCCGGAACACACTTATAACAGCTATCAGCACCTGCAGCTGCAGGCATGAACGTTACATTAACCCACTTAATGTTACTATGAGTTAAAATGTATGTTTACCTGCCATCGTTCAAGTTGGTGACGTACAATCTACAAAGAACGTTTCAGCCTCTTGCTTACCGGTTACATTCTTGAACCTCCTTGTACCTGAGATTATTAAAGGTCCGCGAGGCCGCTCACCCAAATAGTTCATGTATGAATATTTGAATGATGGTATCTCCATGATGCAAGTGCGAACTCATCGTCGACTATTGCACATTTGAATACTCACTCCCTGCGAGCAGTTTGCTTATATTTCCCAACCACCGAAAAAGCAGAACTACTCGCTCCCCACCCGCTGCGCCTTGACACAACCACAAACCCGGGTATCACTACCATTCGAGCACTAGTAATACATCAAGCACCAATATCGTCAACTAATGCCGAAGGCGACCCAAGGCGCTAGCGCTAGCGCAACAAATCGCCCTGCACTTCGTAGGAACCAGGTAAGCACACGCCAATCTTTCCGTTCTTAAAGTGGAATATCTACTATCCTTCAAAGGCTTGTCGGCCATGTCGAAAGAGAAAACTCGTGAGTTTATGATCGGCTGCCTTCGCTTGCCAAAGGTTGAACTCAGACCTCTAGAAATGTGATGCTGCCCGTCCCCACTGTGGCACATGTGTGAAGTGCGTACAATAGCTCTCGGTGTTCGGTACAAAGATAGCCTGACATGGCGGACATAAGGCAATGGCAGTCCCTCATAAGTGTGCCTGCACCGCCCGACTACGCGTAAGTTCTCTACGAATACATGTGGCTTGTGATGTTCACATCCAGATCTCAGGCACCCTGCAGAACCGCAGTGCGTTTATGATCCAGTAGACGGTCTCGCTCTGGCGCCAGATACAAATCCTCTTGAAAAAATTCGGCTTCTGGAAGAAGAAGTTTGTACGTTGCATAACCTACTCAACTATATGTCGGCTGAATCGCTTCCAGCGAAATTGAAGACTCAACTTCAAGAGCAACGAAACAATGGCCCGTCAGGACCATCTCAGCAACTACTACGCCATCTCGGTCAGTTCCGCCCTGGATCAGCCTCTTCTTCCTTGAATCTTGAATCCGGAAGTCCTGCCACTAGTTCTGTTCAAACACCGTCGCTTCCTTACCCAAAAGACCTTATAATTCCAGGTCATATGGACGATTCTGATCCCCGTAACAACAGCAATAGTCCAGAACTTTACGAGGTTCGGCACAAGAGTTCCACTGACACCATTCTTGAAATAATATACTCCGGCTGGAATCCCGATCTCCCTGAGCGCAGTGTTTTGGAGCACTAGTGAGGTTTGATGCTCTGTCTATCGCGTTCACTAAGGTTTCCATAGTATAGATGTGTTTTTCAAGTGCGATCCTTGTGGTCCTCGTATCCTTCATCGCCCATCCTTTCTTGCAGCCGTACGTCTGGATCCTAGGGATCCTTCCTTTCCACACTCGGCCATACTCCATGCAATAGTGAATCTGTCACTAATTTTAATCTTGGATCTCACTGACAGCAGTGGTAGTGTGCGTCAGCTTCCAGGTGGTCCTCCCGCAATGTGGCAATTTTGCCCGACGGCACGAGACGTGATGAATTTGCGGAGTTCCACGCAAGTAAAACTCGACAGTATATTGACAAAACCATGGCCACTGGCCAAGATATCTTTCCCGTCGTTCAGGCGTGCATCCTGCTTGCTTGGTATTTCTATCAAGAAGGACGATGGGTTGAAATTTGGATTTTTGCAGGATTCCAGACTCGCGTTGCCATACCCTTGCGGTTAAATTATCCAGGAACATTCTCGACTCACAACAGTGGATTACCGGGTGGGTATCTTGCTCCCCCGAGGGACCTCATAGATCTAGAGTCACGTCGTCGCACCTGGTGGACGACAATCATCTTTGACCGTATAGTGTCGGTCGGTGGATGGATCCATGCAATTGATGAGAAGGACATGGGAACTGAGCTTCCTCTCCGAGGGGAGGACTTTGACTCAGAGGTAAGCATTAGTTATCGTTCGTTTGAGAGCTTATAACGGCTCCGGGTTGACCTCATCCTTAGCAATTAATGCCTAGCAATCCTCAAAACATGTGTACGGAAGACGTCTTTACCACACATTTGCCGAAATACACCGATTCGTTTCTACTCCTGATCAAGGCCATCATGGTGTTTGGTCGTGTCACGGACTTCAATGTCCGAGGAAACTTGCATGTTCCGACTGCGCCTAGCAAGTTTCAAGACCCTTTCGAATTACCTGGCTTTGCGGATCTCGATCGACTTGTCTACAATGACTTCCTAGCGAACCTCCCAACCATGTTCAAAATGATGAGCGCTAACGATCTGCCTGGTAATCATGGCTCAGTGGACACAGACTTATATATGGTCCATATTATACCGTACGCGTAAGTGCTTTGCCCTGCCTTCCTCTCGTGGATTGTCACATATCAACTTTTAGGGCTACGATTACACTTCATAACCCTTATCTTGACTTAACCGACTTAAATCGCATATCCACGAGTCGATGCATCAATGCAGCAAGAGCCATTCTTTCAGCCTACTTCAAGTTATCCGAGACTTCTTTGGATATATCACGATTGCACCCATTCGTCGTAGTGAGTTTTTGAGTTGTCCCAATCAGAAGTCATTCATTGTCTATCGCAGATCTGTTGGTACCTTGCCGCAGTCGTTCAAGTCCAGGTCTGCAAACACTTCATAGAAGTAGGGGATGAGGCAAGAGAAGACCAGGTATGGGGAGAAATCAACGTCTTGCGGTACGCTCTCGTTTGAAAGCTCGTGGAACCTCCATTGATTGGTATGACAGACGAGCAATGATCAACTACGGAGTGAGATCTCCCATAGGTAGTACGTATATCTCTTTTTATCAAAGACTTCTCATTCACGATGGTGCAGCTCGCCAAGAGAAGTTATTGCAAGGCCTTATGAGAGAAATAGTACGATTGACAAGCCAGAAGCAGCCATTGGAGGTGGGGCTACCTCTGTATCCATTCTCTCATACCACATTGTTTGCGACGCCAACATTACCTGAAAATGCCCAGATGGCACCTCTGCCAAATCCCTCCGCGTTACACTCGATGGAGTATGATTCCCCGATATTCATACGTGATTCGGGCTCACTAGATTCATACTGCCGCCCCGCTGACGATTCACCTCCCATCCTGTCCAGCTGGTCCCCCCACGAGCTACAGCAGCCGCTCTCTTCCGAGAGCGGAATAGTGCGATGGAATCACCGCATATGAGTTTATATCTCTTCATCTCGAACCATTACTTATACTGTTGACTGCCTTGGACTGTGCAATATATATCCACTTATAATGCATTGAATTATTGGTAGCTGGTTCTCATTACGTATCGAAAGAAATGTCATCGGTGCATTAGCATCATACAAATTCGCGGAAGTCCTGTGATTGTCCTCTCCTTCTTTCGGCCTCCAGCATAGCGTCAAACTTGGCTTGCTCTACTGTTCGATCATCCATTCCAGATGATGGTGGGTCGTTACTCGGCGATGATGTTGGGTATGGCAATCTGTTCCGTTCATGACGTTGTCGGATAGTGTCCCATGAAGACACATAACCAGCAGAACGTGCGTTCGCTGCACGTATCTCTTCCCAGCGATTCTTTGGTTGAGTTGCTTGGGGTGAAGGGGCTGCGAAAATGTCAGAGTGACATATAGCAGAACCAATACGGTTACTCGCCATCGGAATGAGGTAAAGATGCCCCCCAATTCTCCTCGCTAACCATCTCCGGGCCATGCTCTTGACTAGTCCCGGAAGTAGCAGTGCTGTCCAAACGTGCAGCATCCTTTCGTATTCGTGACAGCGTGAAGCCCAACTGCCCATCGCCACCAAGTCTGCGGTCAACATTGCTCAACGCTTCTATAAAGCCTGCGGGGTTTTCCAGAGCTTCTGTAAACTGTCTGTGGGCCAAGACTTGTCTGACCCCGCCAAAAACCAACCCTATGGCGGTGGCAGCGCCCGAGCCCCATGCAAGCTTTGCGTAAGACCACCTGGGACGCGCCATGGAGTACCCGTAACCGAGGGTGGCGCCTGCAGCCCCGACCCCATATATCGCCTGTTCGTAAGGATGCGCGGTCAACTATGAACATGATACCGGAACAACAGACGAACAGGCCAGTGTCTGTGCCCCCCAGGCAGGAATCTGGTTGCTAGCTCAAAATCATGCTTTGTGATGACGCCTTTCTCTAACTCTGGGTGTAAGAGTTCGACGGCGCGTGATCGCGAGGAGAAAGTGGTTTTGAGCCACTGCTCGGGATATGACATCGTTGATACTAATAGTTACTGGTGGTAATTATTATTGGATTAAATCTTTAAAATTAGTTAGTTGTGTAAAATATTTGGAAACAAGAACCTTGTTTAATTACCAAGTCGTTTACCGTCGATGGTCGATATCAGCGCTTTGTACAGTATGTTACTGTGGTCAGTGATGATCCTGCGTGTTTTTCCCCCGAAGATTATTATTTCACATCCCTTCCTGATTTGCCCGCGTCTATAGTCTGAATCATATAGCCAGCCCTCCAACTCCCTTCAGTCTTTGTTCCAAAGAAACGTACCCATCCTGGATCTGCCAAATTCCTTCTGTTGCTGCAGTGTTGCACTTTCGTCGTTCATGCCCCGAGTTGAATGCTGCACTCAACGGGGCTTTGTCTGCTCGTTATATCTCTTTTATCAAGCATCTGTTACCCTCTGTCACTATCTCGTCTGTGCGTCATCTCGAGCTACTGTATGGAGAGGTCGTCGTGGTTGCTCTCGCCGACCGTTATAATGACTTCCTTGCTGACCAGTCTCTATCCCGAACCACGCACCAGACCATTCCCTGAACCATGAACTAGTCCGACCGGCTCTCGAGTGTATCAAACGGGATCGAGGCCCATGAGGCTGCTACCACTGAGCGGGGCTGCCAAGGGCCTCTTCACGAAACCTGCCAGCAAGGTGACGAAGGCCAAAGTCAAGTGAAGGCCGATGGACCGGCAAGACATGCATCGCCTGCGAAGAATGGGGCAGGCTAGAGTAACTTACTCTGAGTAATGCCGCCTGAGACAGCAAGTTTAATTCCCTTGCTTGGTATTGGCTTTCTATCTGGTCAGATCATCGTGTCTATCTATCTATCTAGTGGTATACTTCGTCTTCATTCATTGCGTTTGCTAGTGCGAGTGCTGGAGTTGGTCTTTATTTTGATTCTTTTTCCCCATTGTCCTAGTTCTTGCGTGGATAATCAGCAGTTACACTGTGATAATCTACGTACTTAACGAGACTATTGTTCGTACGGCACTATACCCTGAGTATTGCTTGAACCCCACAGTTTTTGCTTGCCTCAGAACATATGGCTGAATGATTGTCTCCCAAAAGCGGAGTCAGGGTTGCGGGTGCGTAGTCGCCGGTACCCATTTGTGGTTGTAATACTGATTCAACACATTTGAAGTTCCAGCAAGGCCCAGGCTAATGGCCATGTTATCTTATCTTTTATACTTGAGTTTACGGAAATGAGAGGCTGGATGCAACCCTTTCTCGATTTCTTCTTAGTTGGTCCAGTCGATAATGCCGCCTGTTAACCCTCAGATACTCGGTAAGTTAGAACATTCTCAGAAGGTACTCGAGACAGCACCATCAGAACATTCAACTCCTGCTAAACTCCCATCTCGCAATCCAACCCGCTCCTTCTGGATTGATTCTTCCCCGGACGCCAATCCACTCGCTGGCCAAGGCAGCCAAGATCCTCTGCCTAGCGAGGCAGACGTTTGCATCATCGGGGCTGGTTTCACTGGCGTTGGCGTCGCATACCATCTCATCGAACTCTTGAATAATGCTTCGCTTTCTATCAAACACCCGCTCAGTATCGTGATACTCGAGGCGAGAGATTTCTGTCAGTCTGTCTCTGCTAATTGTGAGTTTTTTGTACAGTACTGACACGTTTCAGGCTCAGGAGCGACCGGTGCGTGGAGCACCGTGTGTTTCTTTAGATTCTCGTGCAGAAAAGAACGTTTACAGGAAGGAATGGCGGACATCTTACACCAGCCGCGTTCACCAGGTTTGCTCAACGTCAGGCATTATTTGATACGGTCGAGGCAATTAAGTCATATGAACTGGAGCAACACACCACTTCTCTGCTCGTCAAGATCATAGAGGAGAATGGCTGGGCGAGTGACGTCGACCTCGTAGAAGGTGGACACATAAGTCTCTTGTTCACGGAGAAGGAAGCAAAAAACGCGCACAATGACTTCGATATGGCACGTCAAGCACAGCTCAATCTAGATGGTGTGGAATGGTTCTCGAAGGAGGAACTCGAGAAGGTGTTTGTTCTCGCTAGTCATAATCTTCCTAGTCTGATTCAACCTGCTCAATACCAGGCATATGGCGCCCCTTACCCAGGATTCCGCAGGCCAGGGTATAATGTCTGGCCGCTAAAACTCGTCACAAAGTTGTACCAGCACGCTCAAGCACACGCTAGGCAATACGCCTCCCTCAGCTTGCACACTCGGACGCCGGTGACTGCAGTCACGCATGAAACGACTTCCACTTATACAGTCGTGACGAACCGGGGTAGCATATCGTGCTCCCGTATCGTTCATGCTACGAATGGATATGCCCCTCACCTCCTTCCCTTCCTCGCGAGTCCAGATGGGATTATACCCGCTCGAGGACAAGTAATGACCACCCGTGCTTCTGTCGGTACTGATCAAATTAAGATATCGAGCTGGAGTGGAAACAAAGTAAGCCACTCTGTCCTAGCACGTCTTTTCGTGACCAATCTCTCTTTTAGGGGTTTGCATACTGGTTCCCCCGACCCGTAACACGCGACACCGAAAAACCGTTGATCATCATCGGTGGTGGCCAGGAAGCTGCGGCACCCAGTCGTGAGCTATATGTGGACGACGACTCTGAAACGCACCCTCTCGTTGGGAAAGCGCTCCGCGAGTTCTTGCCATCTGTATTTGAAGGTAAATATGACCCTCATTCGGAGCCTGAGATGGAATGGGTAGGTGCTCTTTCTACGTGGGTGAGGATATCCCTGACGAAGGTTTAGACTGGCATCACGGGCTACACGAAGATGGGGGATCCATTTGTACGTCCAAGTAACTCTTGCAACTACTGTTGTTGATGTACCCCTCACCAGGTTGGTGCCGTAGCAGACTTACTCGCAGCCAATCCAAATAGAGACCTGTACAAGAAACAGTACATCGCTGCAGGATATACTGGTCATGGAATGCCGCGCGCATTCGGATGGTGAGTCTTACATTGTGTGGCTGAACTGTCTCGGGCTCAATTCATACATGACATGGCCCGGGTTTCTAGTGCCGAAGTTATCGCGCAAATGATTCTAGCTGAGATTTCTGATAAAGAGTGGAAGGAACCCGATTGGCTTCCACAACGTTATCTGACGTGGAATAGACGAGTCGAGTAAGGTCTTACGGAGCACGAAGCTGGAAAAACCGGATGCGGGTGTGGGTCCTTTGATTGTGATTCTACCCGAAGCGATGATCACGTGACTTCTCTGTAGTTAGCTTGTGTAAAATATTTGAAAAACAAATTGTATGCTCTGAGGTGGTTGTTGATGGAAATGTTCTCATATCAAAAATTGATTGAAATAATAGTCGTTATGCACGTTATCCTCGCGACTGTCGGTCACCTCTTTTATTGAATCACAGATCCGCCAAGTTTAAGCTTGCCTACAGGACTGATGTTCTAATCCCAGCCACTTAGAATCTCTCGCTCTATCAACAATGTCCGGTTCCATTGGTGTCGAATACAGGCCTTTAGGTCGTGATCTAAAGTTACCTCCTCTACCACCAGATTCACATGTATCACCACCGCCACCTCCCAAGAATATCGGCCTTGTACTAGATACTCACCTTGATGACAACGGTCCTCAACTACCTCCAATACCAAGCCTGGCATCTCTAGGTAACGCATCTTTTTCGCCCTGATTTCGTTCTAGGCACATATTCACACCGGCCACCAGGATTTGACTCGCCCAAATCTCCCGCAATAGCAGTCGGACCAACTGTCTCACCAATGTCTCCTACATCCCCTACCTCCCAAATAGAAAAGACGAAGAAATCTAGTCCCTTGACCGATCTTATCGAGAGCGAAAAGATTTATGTGGAGTACTTGACTGGCATAATACGAGTGCGTTCCTGAATTCATTACAGACTTGTCAAATTCATTGTTTTTGTAGAGGGTAGCCGCAGCATGGTCACGATCCAATTTGCCACCACCAGAGCTCGATGTCATGTTTCGCAGCATTGAGAGTGTCTATAAGACAAATCGCACACTCCTCGCGGTAGGTAATGCATTTTCACGTGTACAATGTGGCTAACACGTGCATAGAAACTGAAAGAAATCGGTGCCAATCCGTCCTCACCCAAAGCTCTGGGTGACCTCTTGATGCGATGGGTGAGAGTTTAGCACTAGGCAGACTTTCCTGCATTCTGAATGTGCTCCAAAGATTGATGACCTTGACCGACCTTACACGACGTACTGTCAGAAATTCTCTACTGGTTTTGATCAATGGGAGCCTGTCAAGTCAAATATGAAGCTTCCAGGCGTTCTCGAGGCGTTCTCTGCGGCTAGCCCTCCCTCAATAGCTGCAATTCAGTCCTCTCAGCTAGCAGACCCTTTGTTATGGACCTTGGATGCCCTATTTCTGTTGCCTAAGGGTCGTCTTTTATATTACAGGAAATTATACAACAGACTGCTGAGGAGCACCGTACCGGGCAGGAGCGACCATCGACTATTGACAGGTGCTCTTGAAAAGTTAGACGATCTATTGGAGACTTTGGACGGAAGATGTCAGGTCAAGGTTGGCCACAGTCCTCCCGCCTCCTCCGCACTGCCGCATGTCACCTCTGACGAGAAGGCTGAGCCTATCGCTTCTCCAGCGATGTCCCCAGTGACAGAATTTGATGCAATGCACGACCAGCTACTTTCAGGTCAATTTGGGAGAGGAAATGCCAGCGCAACTACATCTGTTCGTGGAAGCGGCTCGTCAAGCGGGTGAGCATAGACAATGATGTTATGCCGTCCATGATGTTGACATGCAATTAGAGAACGATTTTCCCGGGAGACGGGGATGACATCCATCAGTCGTAACTCCGCAGCAGCCATGCCTACATCCATCGCTAACCTGGAAAAACGATTGGCGACAGATATGACACTCGACATATTTACCATGGAGCCCAAGGTTCGTGCATTCCCATGGCGTGTCGTGGTGATCGCTGATTGTTTTACGTCGGATACTTCAGCTCGTTCGTCTGCAAATGTCTCCGCCAACGTTGCCTTATGCTAGAGAACTTAAATTGTCGGCCAATGTTGTCGTCCATTTTACTCCTCGTTCGACAGGCGTGAATGTTGTTCACCAGCACGGCTTTGTCTTTATTCTATCAGATCTATTCTTGATATGTGAGGAGATGTCCTTGGATGACAGGATTGTAGCGGGTGTCGACGGCCCTGATATGCGGCTTTGCTACCCTCCACTTTCTGGAAAAGTCCTGAAGGTGACCGAGGTACCTGATCAAGGTGCGTAACCTGATCATCACACCGAATAAGATCTTAAAATATTGGCAGATAACGTACTTCAGATTTCCATCATGCGGAAAGAGACGCTGATCCTTGAGGCCATTTCAATGCAATCCCGTGACGAGATCATCAAGGAATTCAAAGAGTGTATCGATTTTGCAAGGACCAGTATGTGCATGTACCTCTGATTGCAACATCCCCTACTGACATCTTGAGAAGTGTCTGGAATTGCTTCAGAACCAGTTCCCCCCTTGCCTAAAGGCCCCCCTGTATCACCAGTTGCCGATCTTCCTCTTGCAAATGAGGGATTTCCTTCGCGTGAGCAGGCTAATGACACTCAACAGCGTGTTCCACGAGAGCAGGTTGCCAGTTCTAGTGTGTTGAATGGAAGACCTGAGCTTCCTGAGCTCTCCTCTGCCCCTAACTTCTCCAGGCCTCGCATCACATCACAACAGAATTTTGCCCCTCGCAAAACAAGCTTAGGACAATTTGCTCCAAGGCAAGTCGTGGGGGGGAATGGGAACATTAGTCCTAGCGAAGCTGTTGCTATACCCCAGATGCAAAATTTCCAAGGTGAACAGAGGACGCCGTCATTGCAGGATGCTCCTTCTGGTGTCCCTCACCCTATGCGCAAGCCATCTGCTGGTCAAGGAGCTTCCACACATTCGCCACCTTCCTCCTTCGGTCTGGGTCAGGTCATGCCGCCAGCTCGGAGTGCAAGCACGACCAGCTCTTCGCATCCCTTCCCCGATCAGGACCCCAGCATAGGAGGCGCACCTCATAGAGTGCACTCTCCTCCTACTGCTCAAGGATACCCACAACAACAACCCTTAAATCATCAATCGTCAGTCAATTCGTCACGTCACACCTCGATGCAGTCTCTTCACCATCAACCGCCTCTCAATCATCAACCGTCTCTCAATCACCAATACCCGTCAATTCATCAACATCTTCGCCCTCCACAAAGCGCACCCCCCCAAGCTCAATCTATGAACTTTTCTCAACACCCCCATCACACTCAGCCATTTCCTTCTCGGTCTACGGGTCCTGGAGGTCCTGGAGGTCCTCCTCATGGACTTCCTCCCCCTCGACCACCGTCTGAGCCGCAGGCGTCCTCCGGGAGACTCCATAAGTCGGCATCATCGCGGTCTCTCCGCTCTCAGTATGACTATACCCCAGGTCCGGGTCAAGCACCACCACTTCCTTCCTTACCTGGAGGGCTGCCGATACCATCACGACCTTATGGTCAACGTACAGATTCTATTAGTTCTGCGGGCAGCGGCAATAATGCTTCGATAAGACCCATCCTACCATCGCAGCAGATCAGTTCTAGAGCAAACTCATTCACCGAATCAATATTCCACGACAATAGTCCTCCAACTTCACCGATTGAAGAGCGAAAGCCTCTGGGTCCGGCCAAGCCCACGATAACGGAAATGAAGTGCAGGGTCTTCCACCAGCAACAGCACGCGCAATGGAAGTCATTGGGTTCTGCGCGACTGACTCTCTATCATCAGCAGCCAACTAATGTCAAGCAACTCGTTGTCGAAGCGGGCTCAAAAGACAAGAAGAACATCCTTATCTCGACGATAGTGCTTACGGATGGCGTGGAACGAGTGGGCAAGACTGGTGTTGCCATTGAACTCAGCGATGCCAAAGGTGCACGGACAGGCATCATCTATATGATCCAACTTCGGAATGAGCAGGCTGCTCAAGAACTGTTTGATAAATTACTTGCAGGGTCGGACAGGTCGAAATAATTTGAGATATCATAAGTCGTTCCACTGGACCAGGGTCCGTGTGCCTATTTCCGTGTTTTCTTCATCCCTCCGTTCATCACATCAGGTTTTCTTTTACTTCTTCATCCCATTTACCAATGCTGGTTGGGCTCCATTCCATTTGAAATACCCTAGACAGGTTATGCCACATACCTCCTCGACGTTGTAATCTATCATGATAAAAGGAGTTCTGCACAAAGAGAGACATGATCACTTCCGCAAACGCCAATCTGAGGAAGACCTGCTTCCATGTCAGTGGTACGATGTGGGTTGAGGTAGCCTGCGACATTGATGCTGTGTTTGGGTGTGTCCACGAAGAAAATGTAGTCTAACAACATCAAATTCAGCAAGCGAAGGGGGACGGGAGAGACGAAGAAACCTAGCGTCGTCTTCCAGTAGTTTGTGTAACTAGTCCACATTGGTTCATGAGCTCCGAGTCTGGTCGGGGGCAAAGAGACTCGATCGCCAAATGTGTACAAATCACTTGGGATGCCGTTGTCTCTCTGAGTCCTTTGACCTTCATCATATGCGCTCCGAAGCTTGGCACCATTGATGAAGAGTGATGTCAATTCAAGGTCGGACAGCAGTCCGTCTGATGAAGTGGCTACTCTGGAGTTATTAATGACCCTGTCTGGATCAGCCTCTGAACCATCTCCCTCTTCATCGTCCGCCTTTTTCGCAGTTGGCACTATAGTGGGATCGATGGTTATATGAATAACACGAGACATATGCAAACGCTGAGACTGGGCCTCAGTAAGCGGATCGCCGACGAGCAAGGAGTATGCCGGGTCATCGGGAGTAAAGTTGAAGTCTGTAATCACGAGGAAGTCAATACACAATAATTCACTTCGAATTTACCGTGTTTACCGCCGGCGATGATGCAGGGCCAATGGTCAAGTTTCATAGACTGTCGGAAATTAAGGACTTCTCGAATGAGAATGCCGGCCTGCCTGTGAGCCAGCTCAGCGATATGTTCGACTGGCGAATGAACTGAAATACCTTGCCCTTTCGTACGTGAATCTGAAACAATAGACCAATATTAATGTGAGTTTAGTTGAAACATATAAATTGCACTAACGCAGGATGCCAAAACAGATGGGTGGTTGCAATGATGACACCTTGGTGATCGGCGCCGACTTCAGCTAATGCGACCATGAAACCGATATTTTTCGTAACGCGACTCGATCCAATACGTGTAGCAGGATGGGAAGAATTCTCAGGGACTTCTTGCTTGTCGTACTCAATTATAA